CCCCGATTTTGCTCCAAAATCCCTTAAACAATTCATAAGCAATTGAATTGACCCCGAGTCCCCCCGAGAGAGGAGCATGAGGTCATCGGCGAAGACAAGGTGAGAGAAAAATGTTCACTTTTTGTTTTAGTCATTTATCTCGAAAAAAAAAATAAAAATAAAATTCGGTCCTCTACCCAGCTAAAATCAACAATTGTAATCGCGATGATGATGTTTAATAAATAATAATATGAAAAAATAACAATATTTTCGTCCGCATAATTTAAAGTTGGTCCTATAATTTGGTCAATGTTCAATTTTCCACCCTTCACTGACCACTTTCAAATTGAGTCTTATAATTTGACAATTTAATCAAATTTAGTCCTTTTTTTATCCGCATACTGGATAAAAATATGACGTGGCGTTTTAAAATCTGACACGGCGTGACTGTAGTATATGTGGCAGGATTATGAAATATTTACTTAAAATTTAATAATCCACATCAGCTCCATCCATTAGTTGCAATTAATTAAATCTTTAAAATTGCAAAGTAGTCCTTAGAATTTATTAAATTATAAAAACAAGCCCTTGCAATACTCATCCGCCTCCGCCGTCGTCCACCGCTGTCATTTTTCAGCCGCCGGTCGACCACCTACGATTGAATTTTTTTTGTATCATCTTGAAGCTCTTCGTCCTCGTTCACCTCCTAAAACTTCCGGCGAAAATTGCACTTGTAAGGTCGTCAATTGCTCTAGTCAAAGTTTATAGATCTATAAAATTCTGGTAAAAAGCTAGTTTCTTCCTCAATTTTCAGCGATTCACGGCGACCCACCGAAATCCAAGGGAACCTCTGCATTCCTCATGCCGTCGTGCACCCTACGAAGTCCACCATCTCCAGAACCGATGAACTACGGAAACCTAATTTTCTGTCGGGTATCGAGGAAAACAAATCGGAGCTCTTGAAGGTGGTGGCCTTGACCGCGACAGCGTAGGAAGATTGCGGGATGATTGATGGGCTGGTCTGAGTAGCCGAGCTATGGTCTGTATGTTGGAACTCCGACGAGGGCGGAAGGTGGTATGGTGTTGGACGCCGGGGAAAATTCCACTTGTAAGGTCGTCAATTGTTCTAGTCAAAGTTTATGGATCTATAAAATTCCAGTCAAAAACCTGTTTCTTCCTCAATTTTTGGCGATTCACGACGACCCACCGAAATCCAAGGGCACCTTTGCATTCCTCATGTCGTCGTGCACCCGACGAAGTCCACCATCTCCACAACCGATGAATTTTACGGAAACCTAGTTTTTCGGGGGTATCAAGGAAAACAAATCGGAGCTCTTGAAGGTGGTGGCCTTGACCGCGACAGCATAGGAAGATTGCGGGATGATTGACGGCGGTTGGTCTGAGTAGCCGAGCTATGGTCTGTATGTTGGAACTCTGACGACGGGCGGAAGGTGGTATGGTGTTGGACGCCGGGGATGGTGGTGTTGGCCGCTGGCGGCGGGCAGCTGAAAAGAACGTAGGCTGATGGCCGACGATGGTGCTAGAGCGACGACAAGACGACAAACGGTTGAAGAGAACCGGCTGGCTATGAGTACAAGAACGACAATGCTGCTTTCTTTATTCTTTTTCTATTTTTTTGGTTTTGATATTGTGTTTTGGTTTTAATATTTTATTTTTTGGTTTTAATTTTTTAGTTTAATTTGTTTTGGTTTCCACTATGGCATTTCCACATGATTTTAATATTTTATTTTTGGGATTTCATTTAATTTTATGATTTTCACATGGCATAATTGAATTATTAAATACATATGAAGCCGTCAGGCCATGTCAGATAAAAAATTGTCATGTCATGCCACGTCATATTTTTATTCAGGGTGCGGATAAAAAATGACCAAATTTAATTAAATTGTCAAATATTGGACTCAGTTTGAAAATGATCAATGACGAGGTGGAAAATTGGACATAGAGGACCAATTTTAAAATTATGCCTATTTTCGTCCTTTATGTGACATTCATTTGTGATTTAGTCCTCTAAAATTGTACATTTTGACATTTTGTCCTTTTTCAATAATAATATTAAAAACTAGTCCATTTTTACATTTATTGTAAGAACTAGGAACCAATCTTAACCACAAATTATACTAATATTGACGACTCGATTTGATTAAATTATTGGCAATAGTTGCACAATAAATATGACCTATTTATGGTGTAGGGTAAACTATGGAAGTAAAAGTTTTTGACGTTACAACATTCATTGCATCTCCATGTATTTATTCTACGAATATTGAATTGAAACTCTTATCAACAAATGCTTGTAATATTAAAAAATAAAAATAAACAAATACCTTTGCAAACATTCAATAAATGAATATTGATATTAATGGAATCTATTTACAACAATTTTGTTGGTTTTTTTAAATCATTCTGATGTTTTTTACTTACTATATATGCTTTTCTTTATTATAGTTTGTTAATTTCTTTATTATAAAGAATAATGATTTTTTTCCTTATACATAGATGATAGATTGATTAATATCTGTATTACTCAAAACTTAAATCATAAAAATAGCATCATTATCAGACAAAAATAGCATCATGATGGGACAAAACTAGGAATATAGAACGTGCTAATTTGTTTAGAGGACTTTGCTATTTTTATCTAAAATTGTTGCTAAATTTTGTATTGATATCATTATTTCATAGTATTTTGCTAACATTTATTTTTCTTTCTTTTTTCTTGCCAAAATTTTGAGTTTTTGTTGCTTATTTATTTATTTACTAGTACAACACCCGTGTATTACACGGGTGCTTGTTAAAAAATTATTCTTAAATTTTAAAAATTAATGAGAAAACTATATTAAATTAAGTTTACTTTTTTACAAAAAAATATATTACTATATATTTTTGAATGATATGTGTTACTCATGACTTACATGTGTTATATTATATTAGTTTTTATAACTTATATCATATAACTACTTGAAATATAAATATATTCGTTGATAAATAATTTTATTTTTCTAATTAATATTAAAAATAATTTTATTATTGTTATAAGTATAAATATAAATTATTTTTTTATACATACAATATGGATGTTGAATCGAAGCTCATCAAAAGAAGATTAATTTGATATATTACATATGTAAAACTGATAAAAAATACAAAAGTTATTAACTTTTAAAATATGTATACAATTCAATAGTTATAATAAAGAATGATACTAAAAACAATTAATAGATGTAATATGACCATAAATAATTAACATATTTATGGTAATCCGAACCTAATTATTTTTGGTTTGGAATTAAATTAAAATTTACCCAAGCCTAATGACGAAGCATGTAATTTTGCCACATAGGATTTTGAAGCACTAGAAGCAGCCACGTAGGCTCAGCGCATTCTGGATTAATATATAGGGGGAGGGGGATATATTTATTTGCTAGTAAAACAATATATTTGCATAATTGTCTCAATGCAAGATAAAATGAATTTCTAACATAAATAGAGTTTACAGATTATAACAAATTTTCAACACGCAAATAAAAGTCGAATAATAATTGAAATCTAAGTAAAAAAGAGCAAACATAAGCCAAACATGATCCTCACCACGACCGAATTTCTCCAAAATGAATGGTCTTCACACCTTCAATATTTCAAAGACAAATTAAAAACAACATTTTTTTTCCCCAAATATATCATTTAATTGCTTAATAGTACTAATATGTCCTAAGAAGTAACCAGGATCATATTTTAGAAAACCAAATAGATGGTGGTGAATCCCTCCCTATATATTAATTCAAAACGTTTTGAGTCTAGGTAACAGATTCTCACGCTTTGGATGTTTACATGGCGAAAATCTATGCTTCGTGATGTTTTTATATTATTTTTGCTCTGGAGTTAAATTTGATGTTAGACATAAATAATTTTACACATATATTCATTAACTCAACACCTATGTAGTACATGGGTATTATTAGTACTAGTTAAGAGTAAAATGTGAATTTACATCCAATTGAAATTATGGTAAATGTTACGTCCCGTTACGGAATCATTCCGTCAGATTTGTAACCGTTAGATCATCATGCAGCTGTCGGGGATAGTTGATCTAACAATTACAACCTTTGACGGAATGGTTCCGTACATAACGGGACAGCAGCATTTCTCTATATTAATTAGGTGGCAGTTTTACAACTGTGAAATTCTCCTCATGTATTATACCCCCTCCAATCTCCAATCTCCAAACCATAAACAATAACAACACCATTTCAAACTTCATCCGTCACTATCAACTCAAACCCCTCCGCCGTCAGATGGATTCGAGGAAAAGGATCTCCAAAGATACGGCCAAACCAGGAAGAATTTCGTGCCGCACAAACCGACGCCTCCGAAAATCCTCCGGCTGCCCCAAGGTTGGCGGTGGCGCGTGCGATATCACAGACAAGCTAGAGGCCCTGAAAAGCCTCATTCCTTCCGAGAATAGTGAAATAGACACGGCGCTGCTCTTCCAAGAGACGGCGGACTACATTGTTCGTCTCAAAACTCAGGTTTTTATTTTGCAGAAACTTATTGACTTTTACGGATCCCAAAAGCCCCAACAAAATCCAAATACTCCATAAAAAAAAAAAAGGAAAGAGATGAAATTTTATCGTTAGATGCTTTCCTTTAAATTTTGCTGCTTTAATTATAATTTTTTTTTTTCATTGCTGTATTTGTTTTAGGTGGGAAAATGGGTGCTGCAAATTAATGTAATATTTCAATTTATTGTTTGTTGTGATGTTGCATTGATAAATTAATTGAGTAACACATGTACTGAATCGAATTGGTTAACACTATTTTCCGTGTAATATGATCAAAATGTTAGACGAGTCGGCACGTCATACTTTCGAAAGTGTCCACCAGAACAAGATTTGTTAAAAATACCTTAAAAGTTATGTTAGGGAAATAGACACACCCTACAAAGCCCCGAGAGTGTGCATGTTTATAAATATAGTGATATTTGATTGGTTTTTGTTTATAAATATATTGATATTCGATCGATAGCTTTTAAAAAGAAGAAGAAATTCACTCCAGAGCTAGTGTCGATGTAATTGAGGTTGAGAAGAGTCCGTTTAGTTAATCTTAGCTGCTACCCAACGAACCAAGCAAAGCGAAATTCAATCATAGAAACCAAAATTGATTTGATGTAAAGTATGAGATAGATAATTGAAAATGATATATAATTAAGATTATGTTAGTAAATGAATAGTAAATTTAAGTTGATGTGATATATAATAAGAATTAATTGATATTATTTAAATATATTAATAATATCGAAGATAGTGGTAAATCCTAAATAAATATACACATATTATTTTTCTATTTGTTTTTCCCATTTCTTTTACTTTATATTATATATATTATTTGAAAACAAAAATTAAAGTTGAATTATACAGCACTTATGACATTGAACAAATCCTTATATGACTCCTCGGTGTTATTTGTGGGCAAATTCGATCCTACCCATGTGGGTAGTGCCCACATGGGGTTTTTTACCATTGATATCAATGGTAAAAAATTCCATGTGGGCAGTGCCCACATGGGTAGACTCGAATTTTCCGTTATTTAATGGTAAAAAATTCCATGTGGGCAGTGCCCACATGGGTAGACTCGAATTTTCCGTTATTTGTGTTGATAAATCTGACAACTCAATGTGTCCTTGTTTCTTATGACAAGATTGCATATATTATTAACTAATTCACATTACATATCCTCATTTTTTCTTTAATCTTCAACAATTTCAGTCAATCACATGAAGGCTACCGTACGTATACACACGTGTCCCCTTTTTTCAAGACAAAAACCATCACTTTCTCCGTTGAAATGTTTTAGGAACTTGGGATAGTTTGTTGCCCTAAAAAATTTGAACTTTTTTTTTTTAATCATATGATTTCTAATTAAGTTTAATTTACAAAATTTGAAGTTTACTTCCAACAATTGGTTCATGGGATTCAAGTGGAACGTTCCAACTCGAGCAAATTTTGTATCCGCAACGTGGTTGTAGCCGTAGTGCTGTTAAATTAAACGAGTCTGGCTCGACTAGGCTCGAATTCGAGGCCTTAACGAGCCGAACTCAAGTTAATTTAAAACTTTCTTGGCTAACGAGTTCAGCTTGTTAACACTCGAAAATAGAATTTTTATATATTTTTTATAGATCAACTTGTTATAGTTCGAAATCGACTCGTTAAGACTCGAGCTCAAGGCTTAAACGAGACGAGCTCGAACTCAATTTTAGGCTCGTTTATTTAACGAACCGAGCTCCAGCTCAGCTAGGCTCGTTTATAGCCCTAGTTTTAGGGCAACCAACAACCAAATTTCAATCGGGGAGCTGAAAGAGTATAATATAACTTACCATCATTATTCATAAATGATTCGACAATTTTTGAAATTGTTAAAAGAAAAAGAAAAAAAAAATAGAAATATATATATGAATTACAGCATCCACAAATTAAGGCTGTGGAAATATAGTGACAAGGATTTTCACATGATATCTGAACGAGATGGACAATAGGTGCCCCCATTTGTATGGCGTCCACATGCTATGTTATGGCCTGCCAGGAAAAAAGTGGTCCTTCGCACGAGAACATGTGCAACAGTTGGGTAAATCAATATTTTTTTTTTTTTTTTT